ACAAATTCTTACAGTATGTATGATTTTAAGATTGTTTTACTATTGATAACCAATTCATTAGCCTACAAGATAGAAATACAAAGCTTTCACGAGGAAAATGCAGCATACGCAAAAACTATTATCGAAAAAGTTTGGAAAAATGCACTAGATTGCGACATTGTAGAACATTTGGATAATAGCACGATCAAAAATGGAATAGAAAGAGATTTAAACGTTGGGTATTTTCAATTTAATTACGATCATCAGCCATATAGACATCGTCCAGATGGTTATTGCTTTATTCATATATTGGATTCACCTATTTTGTTCCAGAGAAAAAACTTCAATTATATTAGGTCCAAGGTAAGTTAATATTCTCGAAGTTTTGTTCTGGACGTTATTGGATGCTCTTTCATAACATATGAGGTACAGATATATATTCTCTCTAAAATATTTAAAATATTTATGTACAAAGCTCAACAGGCTTAGAGTCCTAGGTCTGAAATACAATTAATACAATACTTATATATTACACAACTTATATCAATTGAGGTGGCTTCTTGTCCTCGCCTACTATTGTCCTCTATCCATCCCTATTTGTTGCTCTTTTTTCTCATCCATCAATTTCTTCTTCTCTGAAATCTTCTTGTATCTTTGTTTGGGTTGTCATTTTCTTCTTTTCGTGATTGGACCTGTTTTAGAATCTGCTTTGGCATCCCATTCCTTTCCATTCTTATCATGTGGCCCACCCGTCTCATATATATAGCTTTGAATATTTTTTGTTTCCCATTTCTACAATTTCTCTAATTGCTATCTTCATTTTCTATGCTTTACTACCATACGTCGCCGTGGGCCTTATTACCGTTTTATATATCCTTAACTTTATTTTCTCGATACATGATTGTAATGTAATCAGAGGTCCTAGGCTTCCCATTTTTTTTCCTTTACCAATCTGGAATTTTGTTTCCATTCTTCCTGATGTTTTTTTTATATAACATCCTCCAGATTATCCTATATATCCTTATCAAGTTCGTCTCCACTTACGCGTCAAAAACGTAGACCATGACAAAACTCGATGAAGAACGTTTAGGCTGTTTTGAAAGTAAAATCCTAAGAAATAATTAGGTTTGTTCCAACGAAGCAACGAAAAACCGTCACGTAACGGTTACGCTCCTGCGCACTAAACAAAATACGTTCCAACAAAAATATGATCGTTCATCTCATCGTCCTTCCTACCGTTCCAACAAAAATTGTGATTGCCTAGTGACGGTTTCGTGACGATAATTTCAGTAATCTGGCAAATGCATGTACTGGTTGGGATGACTTGCGTACTATGAGTTTATTCTACTTCCTTAAATTTGTTTGGGCCTATATTAATTTAGATTTTATATTAAAACTGTAAATTTGTTCAGAAAAAAGGAGAAGTTAGGTTAATTATTTTATCAGGTGCTTATGATAGACTTGTTATTTATTTATATATTTGTTTTTCATTATTTATAAATATGACTGACGACAGACAGAATTATTTAGGTAGTTGTCACCAACTTATGTCAGTTGTCAGAAAATCGTTCCCAGTTTCCAAATTACCGTCATCAGACGATACAAATGATGAACATGCGCGTTAAAGACGGTGCAAGTAGTTTCATGACGGTTTCAGGACCGTACAAAAATTGCGTGTTGGAACAAACCTATTATAAAGGCGTGCAGGAAAACGGATTATTTCTTCGGCGCTATAATTTTGAACTTTACCGCCTTTTTAATGAACCTAAAATATTGGTAGATCTGTACAAAAAAGAGTGTACATATGTGAAATTATTCATATAGTTTCAGTGTATGAGGACTGTATTATATAGGGCTGGTTTAAAATAAATTGCGATTTGTAGTAAAGGGTTATACCAGAGATATGTAAGTACATATCACTGGGTTATACAGATAATAACAAATCATCGAGTTAGAATATATGGAGAAGCTATAGGTATATATATTAACATGTATATTAAAAACGGCGTCAGAAGGCGTGGTTAACGATCATGCCAATATAGCGGTGGGATCAGGGCCGGACTTAATGGTAGTGCTAAGAACCATGGTTTTTGTTTTCTTTGTTTATTGTTAAACCAAACTGTTCCGCAGTATCACAAATTGTGTTTAATAACGTCTGCAGGCCGGAGACAGAAGTCTCCGGCTTCTATATAACATGTAGCTTCTCCATTTTTAAAAAAATTTTAAAGTGTTTGTTTGTCTTTGTGTATTGTATTGTTATGTCCAAATTTACATGTATGACATTCTGCTCATGTCGGATAGGCCACAACTGACGAAATGCCCCTGAGGATGATCTATTGATCGAAAGTACTTGGGCAAGATTTAATTAATTACTGTGTTCGATATTTGCCTTGTATACCATCAAAGACCTATTATATTGTCGACTTGGCCTTTTCCTATCTTTTCGTTTAAATCACCCATTATTATAGTAATTTCTTGCTTTCTTGTGTATTGTAGAAGTTGTTTGAGTTGTTCATAAAATGTTCTATTTCAGCTTCTGATTTATCTGCAGTTGGAGCATACACTTGTACTACATTAATGTTCACTGGCTTACCCTGTATTTGTAATAATAGAATTCTATACGAAAAGGGAACAAAATTTACACGCTGCTTGAATTCTCTTGGAGATCTATTCCAACTCATATAGTGATCTCTGGTGTCATTTCCGGAGTAGTATATCGTTTTATCCATGACCAATATTTTACCGGAACCAGGCCAGCGCATTTCGCTTATGCCTAATATTTCTAGGTTCAGTCTGTTTATTTCTTGAATCGTGTTTGTGCGTCTTTCCTTGGTCGAACAAACTCCTCACATTCCATGTCCCGAAATTTAAAAAGGATTTGTTCTCTATATAGTTAGTTGCCACATTCGGGTGGCTCCTCCTCGCGGAGATTCTTAGCACCCCTCGACCATTAAAGGTCCGCCGCGGACTAGGGGCTATGTGATTGACCGTACTTTGCATGGTTATTGTTCTAGGGAAATCTGACGATCTTTAATGTAGTGGTTTCCCGTTGCCTTCTATATCCTTATGCCGTTGACCACTAATAGGTTCATCCGCCTTTGGAGCCAATTTCTCAACCCCAGGACAAAAAAGTGCCCTACCACTTACTAACTCATCCGCCCGAAGCCGTTGGTCAGTTAGTGGGGGATTGCTTATACCGGCAATCACTCGGTGAATGAGAATGTAGGAGAAAGAAATATAGTGACCCGTCTGCATTCGGAAACCTAATAGCCATTCGGGGTCGGAAGAGACAAGAGTTAGCCAAGAGAGGCTGATAGGAAAGATTAAAGTAATTTTACTCAAGACAAGTTGAAAAAGAATAAAATGTGAAGGCCCTTATGATGCGCCAGGTGCGTTTCATAAGCGTATGAGTATTAATACACTTTGTGTTCCCGCTCATACCTCGGGGTGTTGACTACAGACTGTATGGCTCGTCCAGCATGCCATAGCATGGAGGGTAGTGTGTACGTCACTTTTTTTAACGTAGACACCTAACTCCATGGCCTGACCACAATGGAAGTGATAAATTTTATTGAACTCCTGAGAATTTAAAAAATGGTAAAAATCGTCATTTGATTTTAGTCGATAGGACACTGAAGATAAGATATCAAATTTTTACCGTCGAGTTGATAAAAATTTTATTTAAAATTGATTTTGGTGCATAACTGATATAAAAAGTGCAAAAAAAGGTTTTGTTCAAAATTATCTCAGCAAATTCTTTTATTTAAAATATTTGTTTCTACGCCTACATAATCTTGGTAATTGATTTTTTTTTTTATCACCTTCGAGGGGGGTTTGGAAGAAGCCGGGAGGTAGGAGTCGTAAAATTTTTTTGTATCTTTTTTTGGGTCCCAAAATTGATATTCTCAGCAAAACGCAGCTTGTTTGTATGATTTTTAGATGTTCAGTGGTATCTTCGTCTCTGACTACTGAAGTAATATTGATAAAAAAGAAATACTTACAACAGATTAATGTATAGTAAGGAAATTTGAATTTAAATTTCTTGATTTTCCTGGATCTATTTTGGATACTTAATAACTATTTATGACGTTACGTAATATCTTACAGACTTTAACTTTAATTTTGTTCTAGATCAACAGAAAAGATATAGTAATTATATTAGAAAGAGAAACGTATATACCAAAGAAACTCTTGAAAATGTTCCTTTTAACAAAACTGGTGATTGTTATAAAATTACTCATCTCGAAAGCATTTTACTGCATCCATAGGTTTGATAAAGAATGGTGTATTCTTCGGGAAATTCAAAGTAGAGATCACCTGCCAAATTTTCTGAAAGGAACAGAAATGTACACATATGTCACACAGGAGAAAATCGGATATGCATCGTATATTCCATATGTTTACATAAGGTTTGTATAAAAAGCTAATTTTTAATTATTATTTTTAAAATTTTTACTTAAAACATAGTTGTTGTCTTATAAGTAATACAATATACAGGGTCAAAATAAAATATGCAATCAGTTAAATATCTTTGAAACAAAAAAAACGGCATTCATGAAACTTTGTATGTAAATATAATTTATACATAACGCATCTAACGTCACATATTTTTTTGTCACTATTCTGCTTCCAGTTTCGCCAGAAATACTCTCAACTTACCTTGGCTTCTCCGACAGGTTCCCCTGCAGGTTCTTTATGCTTGTTTTCTCTCTATTCCTCCTCTGCATGTATTTCTCTCTGGTTTCGTTAATTTTTATATAGAGGGCATGTTGGTATTCTATTTCTTTGTTGGTTCTTAATAATTTAACATTCTATTGTTTTTTAAGTGGATTATTTGGCTTTTTTGCAACTGTCGTGATTTTATCCTCCATATGATAATGATCTGAGTCAGAAATACTTCGCGATACGTTCTGACTGCAAAAATCACCAAGGAATGTAGCAAAATATTGGAAGGAAGGCTAATCAATATAATGGAAAAAAAAACAAGGGATTATCAAGGAGGATATTGCCGACGACCGCGAACTCTTGCATTTAAAATTTTTTGGCTACATCAAAAACAATCCAAAATGACTAAAAATAGTGAAAAAAGATAGTGAGTTAAAAACTTTACCACATGATAAGACCTACAAAGAAATACTTTTGATCCTAATAAATAACCGTATATATACAAGATGTAGTATTTTTTTTTGCCATCAGTAAATTTATACGAGTTTCTCCCTGGCTCTTTTATCTGATTTCCTGCAGTGTCAATATTTCAACTCCACATTTTCCAATTTTTTCGCAATGGTTCGCACATTCCAGGTTCCAAATTTTAAATTCATAGTAATGTATACTTTTCTTTGTTGAGTTCTTCGTTTGAAACTCGTCAAGTTATCAAACTTCTTCTTCTCTTCATTTCTTCTTTATATGTAGACATGACTCTCTCTGTTTTTCAATGTGCCTCCACTAAGTTGTCGTTCCATCGTTTTCGTGGTCTTCCTACTGATCGTCTTCCTATTGGCGAGCCGTCTCTTGCCATCTTTACTACTCTATTTAATGTCATTTGGCCCTATATTATCGTTCCATTTTACTCTTCTATTTCTTACCCAGTTCTTGATGTTCTTCACCTTGCATCTATGTCGTGTATCTGTACTTCTAGCTCTGTCCCACAGTATTTTACCATCAATTTTTCCAAGTGTTTTCGTCTCTGCTGTTTCTAACATCCTTTTTGTCCTCTCTGTGGTAGGTTATGTTTCTGCCGCGTATGTCATTATGGGTCTGATGACTGTTTTGTAAATTCTGCCTTTCGTTTCTTTTCCGATATTTTTATTTCTCTATATTGTTTCATTAATGCAACCTGCCGCTGTGTTTGCTTTATTCACTTGATCTTCCACTTCAGTTTCGATCTTTCCCCTAGCTAGATAGTGTGATGCCTAAATATTTAAATCTATCACTTGTTCTATTCTACCATGTTAAATTTTCTGGCGGTTATATTAAATTGGTGCAGCATACGTTGTAAATCATCTTCACTTTGAGAGAGTAGTATTGCGTCGTCTCCATAGCAAATTATTTTAAGTGGTTTTTCTCCCATTTGGTATCGTTTTTTAGTTTTTACATTTTTAATATATCATCCATAATCAGGTTGAACAATAGAGGACTCAGGAAATTCTCTGAGAATCAAACATTCTAGTACATTTTCGTTCCATTGTTTATTTGTCTATTTGACATGTTTCGCATCGACAAATGATGCTGGTTTTCTCCTTGCATAAAATTTTAGCTTTATGAAGGTAACTGACTGATTGACATCTAATCTATGGCATTAAAAAAAGCTTTATGAAGCTTGCTGATATGAAACTATTTAATTTTTATGTTTTATTTTAGAGATAATAAAACAAATGTCGTGGGTGGATATGAAATAAGATTATTGGATACAATGAGCTCAATCTTCAAGTTTAATTATACCTTGGTGTCGTACGATCATATTTTGAATGAAAGTAAATTAGAATTCTTGGAAAAAGATGTAAGATTACTATAAAATTTATTTAAAGATAATGACATTGGTTTTAATCAAATTTTTGGTATTAGATTAGGTTAGGTTGGCTTAGTAGAAGCTTTGGAATTGGTATTGATTAGTTGTATACCTTTAAATATTAAAATTGTAATACTAACCTAAAAGACAAGTATAATCGAACCTCAGCTGAGAACAGAATAGATACTTAATCAATGATAAAATAAAGTCATACAAAACAAAATGGACACATCACATAAACAGAATGGATGAAAGTCGATTAAATTACAAAAAAAAAAAACTATTTTAACCAAGTTAACGTTGTGCAAATTAGAATGTGTAATGTGGAATTAGAAAAGTTGAATGAAAAACATGATACGTTTAATATGTTTAAAAAAGTTATAGAAGTAGCTGTTCTTTATCATAAGAAAACTCCACATACTATAACCGATTCGGTCAAGTCGAACATGAAATTCGAACAACCCGGTGTAATTATATAAGTGAACTGTATAATGATGATAGACCCGAAGAACCGGAGACTATAGTTGAAGGTGAAGGACCAGAAATACTAAAATCAGAAATACTGCATGCTATAAAGTTAGCAAAGAACAAGAAAGCCGTTGGCTCTGATAACATACCGACAGAGATGTTAAAGCTTATAAATGAGGAGAACATTGTAATACTGGTCAAACTTTTCAATGATGTCTATTCGACTGGTGATATCCCTGAAGATTGGTTAAAGTCCGAATTCATAACACTACCAAAAAAACAACGTCCGAAAAACTGTAGCGAACACAATTTGGCTTCAGAAATGGACTGGGAACTCGGGACGCCCTCTTTGCACTAAATATATTACTGCAGAAATGTCGAGATCAAAGGAAAGACGTCTTTGCTGTATTTCTTGACTATGAAAAGGCCTTTGATCGAGTACAGCATCACAAACTAAGTACAATATTAAAAGATAAAATAATTGATAGTCAAGACATACGATTCATAGAAAAGTTATACTAGCGTCAAACAGCGACAGCTTGCATAAACGGAAAATCAACAGAAATATGTAAAATACAAAGAGATGTCAGACAGGGTTGTATACTATCCCCACTGTTATTTAATTTAAATTCAGATATAATATTTAAAGAAGCGCTGCATAATTTGAAATGGGGCGTGAAAGTAATGGAATCTGATAATCATCACAATTTTGTGATATGGTATCAGCACTACGACTAGTTCTCGTGGAATTTAATACAATCAGATATGCAGACGATACAGTTATTTTAAGTGATGACATGAATGGACTACAATGCCTTTTAAATGCCATTGATACAGTGGAAGAGAGTTTGGCCTAAACATAAACTGTTCACAAACAAAACACATGGTGTTTAGCCGTTTAGCACATCAAGATGCACGATTATATGTTGATGGTCATATAATTCAAAGAGTGTCCAGTTTTAAATATCTTGGTTGCCATATTACTGAACAACTAGATCCAGATCAAGAGATAAAATGTAGAATCGAGATAGCCCGCACGACATTTTTAAAAATGAGGTCATTCTTCTGTAATGATAACTTGCAACTTCAACTTCGAAAGCGCATGGTTAAATGCTACATTTGGTCAGTCCTCTTATACGGTGTCGAAGCATGGACATTAAAAATATCCACCATTAATCGTCTGGAGGCCTTTGAAATGTGGCTGCACAGACGTATACTAAAAATTCCATGGACGGCTATGCTGACAAATGTGGCAGTCCTTGAGAGAGCAAATGCTGCTCGCGAGCTGCTTGATAACATCAAATGTAGAAAGATGGCCTATTTTGGACACGTAGTAAGGGGAGACCGATATAATATTCTTCAACTTATTATGATGGGTAAAATCGAAGGACGCAGAGGAATTGGTAGAAAGCAGGCCTCTTGGTTGAAGAATATCAGGGAGTGGACAGGAATAAAGAAAGCTGAGCAACTATTTAGAATAGCTCGAGACAGAGACAGTTTCGCCATGTTAATCGCCAACGTCAAGGGGACTTGATAGGGCACGTTAAGAAGAACGTTGCGCAAATCTGCACTTCCACGTAGAAAAAGAGAGGAAACTTCCATTTGGATGGCCAACGTACATAGGGATCGAGTAATTGCCAGTTTGAACAATCTTCCACTTAATGACCAACGATTTTAGGTCATTGTTTTGGTAAGCGGTTGAGTACTGTTTTGTCCTGGGGTTGAAAAATTGATGGATTGAGGATGCAGAAGGCAACGGGAAACCACTGCATTATTTTTACTCTTCAAACAAACAAAAAAAACCAATATTTCCAACTTCTTATGGGAAAAGTACACACAAAATAGAAATCGTTGGAAAGCTTTTCTAAGCCCTGCCCGTTGTGGCGTTAGACTGAGGTAATTAAGAACTTTAGGTATTAGAAGGGAGGAGGTTGACAATTAAAAATATCTATATAGCTAAAAAATTTCTCCTTTAAAATAAAAATCGATTTACTTAGCATTTTCACAAAATCCAATGAACATTTCCAAATATGCAGGTTGGACTCTTCAGCGGCCAAGTGGCAGTATATATTGATATTTGAATCAAAATTATTTCATTAATTTCAAATAATATGTACTTGTAGTTAAATTCAAAGTTCAGTGTATGCATGAATACAAAAGTTTCCTACAAAAAACACAGCCTAGTCTTCTGACCGAAAAATGAAATGTAGAATTTGGAAGAGAAAAATCTATTAATAGTAGCTCACATATTGTACTCGTAATTTTACTTTTGTAGGTTTTATCTGGTAAACTTTCATGGGGTATAGGCTCAGTAACATTTAGCGAAGAAAGATCTCGGAAATTCGACACAACGAATTTCGTTTTCCTTGATGGGTATTCTGCTCTCTATAATAAAGAATTGGCAAATATCAAAGATCATAAATGCTTATTCGAGAACGCAATACTTCAAATATCTTCTGTCGCCGTGGGATTTCTTATTTTGGGTATTATTTATATTTACCTGATTTTATTTAACTTCAATCGTTCTTTATGGCCTTATGTATTGGTAAGTAACCTATTTAATAATATCCAATAATACAACTGATAGGTATTTGATCAATGTTTATCTGTGGTTTGTCAATTAAACTTTATATTTTTATATAAAGTCGCATAGTTGCAAAACCAGACAAATTAAAATTTTTAATTTTTTTCTGAAAAAAAAATCGCCAATTTTTTTACCTCAGTAAATTGGGTTACCAACATATTAACAAATATTTAGGTTTCGGATCAACATGTATATCCCATGAATATATGTATATATGTGTATAAGTGAGTACTCTGGGATGTTTTTAACCCCAATACTGTGATTTTTAAAGGTTGTATGTAAAAATAGGACAGATATAAATAAATTATAACCAAATAAACACCTGTGAATCCACTTAGAACATGGAAATGGAGGCTGCAGCAATACTATTACTGTTATTTGTCAATTAAACATGGCACATATCCACAAACACATACACACACTCATACACACACACACACACACACACACCACGCACTCAAACTCTGTCACGGTCACCAGTACTCACAGCTGAATCACAACTGACTGGTTATTCGGTAAGTGTTCATGCCATCATATGTTTTAAGTCGATTTCATGCATTTTTTCCGATGCGGCATCGTAGCAATATCTGCATTCATATTATGCGAAGATTAAGAAGAGTCACAAAAGAATCGCCAGGCGACAACACAAGATATGAGAATCGAGGCCGGCAGATACCGAGCGGAACATAATACATACTAGCGGTCATATATTCATGTATTGTGTTAATTCAAAAAAAAGTCTTTTTTCACACGAAGTTTGACTATTTACCAGCGGCACATTCGAAGTGGAAATCAAAATATATTCAGTCAGATTCAATCAATCAATCAATCAATATTCTTTATTTCATCTGACTTTTACAAGTATTGAAATGCGTCAAAATACAATCTAAAAAACTATAGGTACATAGGTAGTAAAAAAAAGTAAAAACTATAAGCACATCATAAAACATAAAATATACACAAAAACATACAAATTGTTAAAAAGATGCCTGCAAGTATTCCTCTAACGAATAGAAAGTGTTTGCCAGAAGTAAGTTCTTAACTGTTCTCTTAAATACATAAATATTTGACTCTTTAACATAATTAGGTAATTTATTATACAAACTAACGCATGTTGGGTAAGGACCCTTGCCCACAACAGTCAAGTGACGAGCAGGGGTCACCAAATCATTTCTGTAACGAAAATTGTAGCCACTCATTAAGGAAACATCATTTCTGCAAATAAAATTACATCTATGTGACTTTACATAAACAACACAACTGAAAATATACAGCGAAATTACAGTTAAAATATTTAATTGTTTAAAAATTGGTCTACAGGAATCCAAGCGCCTTCTAAACGTCATGGTACGAATAATTTTTTTTTTGAAGAACAAGCACCTCATTAATTCGCGAGCAATTTCCCCAACAAACTAAGCAATATTGCAAAATTGACTGTACATGAGCAAAATAGTAAAGTTTCAAGATATCTAGGGAGACAAAATTCCTAAGTTGCCATAGAACATAACAGTGTACAGACAATCTTCCCACTACATAATCAACGTGAGAACTCCAAGACAAATTAGAATCCAGGTAAACACCTAACAACTTGGTGGAGTGGCTATTTACCACAGACCCATTGTCAAGCCTTACTAATGGACTCATCTGCATAGTAGAAGGTGAAAAGGTTACCATATTGGTCTTTGATCCATTTAAGATTAGGGCATTATTTAAACAGTAAAGACTCATACTTTTTACAAGACAGTTTGCTTTTTGAACTACATGAAAAAAATTATTGGAATTTAGTGCAACTGTGGTATCGTCAGCAAATTGAGTGACGTAACAGCCTGATTGCTGTTCCAAGTTTTCTCCTCGAACGCTTATTGCATCAGAAAATTATCTAATGGATTCCGAACCAAACATGTTGAGCTATCGTTTATCAGTTGATTTAAATCGTTGACGAAAATCAAAAATA